GTCTCTGTCTCTCTCTCTCTCTCTCTCTCTCTCTCTCTCTCTCTGTCTCTGTCTCTGTCTCTTTCTCTCTCTCTCTCCCTCCTCAGCGAAATCCAGGCTTTAGTGCTCCGACGCTTCTGCAGCCGCGTTCTGCTTTGAAGCGTTTATTTAGCAACGAGCTCTCATGCTAAAGCGAGAGTTGACTCCTCCCACACTAAGAAAACAGGAGGGGAGGGGTCAGTTGCGCTCCTGTGTAGCGGAGCACAGAGAGGGAGAGAGACGACGGAAAAAAACAAGCAGGAAAATGAAACTTATCGCTGTCTTTTTTTTAACCGACCTCAAAAAAAGTTATCGTGCGATTAATTGATTTATTGACTATCGCGACAGGCCTAGTCAAATTTTACGTGCTAGCGAAAGAATACTTAAGGTTTGACCACTTTAAAACTACATGTTGGTAATGTAAACAGGACTAAGTTTTGGATTTATATGTTTGTCTGAGAAGATAGGTGAAGTGTATTTATTCAAACTTTGATAGGACCAGAATCACAAGTTTAAAARGCACTTGAGATATGTCTGATACAATAAATATATTTAGTTTCTCACTGTTTTCTAATAAATTATATAGAGATAAACCTTTTGACTTTTCCAATCAAACTGGTGTTGCATAAAGGATCTGAATCAAGTCTGACTGGATTAGTAGGGTTGGGCATAATCGTATYGTGTGCAATTAATCGTCAGAAAAACATTAATCGATTAATTTTTGGCAGTTGACAATTAATAAGATTAATGCCACCTGGCAGACTAACCGCTTGGTGTTCCTCTCTGATTCAAATATGACCAATGTTAAAAAAATTGTGTAATTTATTTATCTATCAACACAATTTAAAGTTTGATGTATAGCCTGAAGTCTGTAATTTTGACACAATTTGGAACAGATTTTTACGAAGAGCCAATTTTCTCCCTATAAATTGGTCATGTGACTAGGACATAAGGGTGTCCAGGGATTCTGGGGGATTAATCGTCAAATTAATCGCTATCGGCTAAATATCACAATTAATCGTGATTAATTTTTTTGCCAATATTGCCCAACCCTATGGATTAGATGACTCAGCTTTACATTAGAGCTGTGTTCTGAACCTGCATGGCTCCACATTTAGACAAATTTCTCAAAGGCGCTCATCTATTGTGTTTCTGCCTGGCTGCAGCGAATAACTCTTTGGCATTTCAAACGACTTTATTTGAGCTATAGGAACATTTGGGGAGTTTCTTAATAAGGATTTTTTATTTAAAACCTGGATCTCACCGGGCTGCAACTACTGGAGAGTAGCTCAAGATTAAAAATGGCAAGAAAATACAGTCATTTTTATTTGAATTAGTACTTAAATCTTTTAAATTTGAGCCACAAAAGAGTGAGACCTCAGGCAAGGAGATTTATACAAGTTTTTAGTGAATGCCGTTAAATTAATGAGAATCTTAAACTCAACTTTACTAGTCACAAAAGTGAYGAGATAAAGTCATAATGACTAAAACTTACAGTTTGAAAGATATAGAACTGACTTTTTGCCCCCATAAAGTTAAAGAGGTAAACCAAGAAGCTGGGAAAAGCTGTTGCCACCTCCTATAGCACACAGCAGTGGTCTGTGCATCCCCTCAACATGGGCTGGGGTCCAGTTTTAACACTGCAGCCCTTAGCGTTCTCAGCACAGGACTCATATAGATGAGACACCACCGGGCTGCAGGGTATAAGTGTCTCTCACACCAACCCGTCTCTGCTACTTAAAAATGACTCCTGATAACAGAAGATATGACTGAGGGTMCCTGACGTTTATTAGCAAGAGACCCTTCGAGGCTCTCGGATGTCAAACCCCCTCTGTGTACATGTTTCCTCTAACACTGCWTGAACTGCTTCATGTTGGGTTGTAGAGTTAGCATCTTTACTTTACAAAGCATAAAATCTCATTGAACACATCCAATACAAGCCTATAAATATTCACATTAAACTGATTTTAATGATAAAGTCCATAAAATAATGATGTGAGTGTTTATTGATGTGTCATAACTGTAGGAATGCTGACTTGGCTGCCTCCTGTGATGACTAACAGCTAAATATCTAAATAATAYGACTGGTAACCTAACCCACTGTCACAAGCTGGAACTTGCAGTTTGCACTGTAAACTAAATATTTACTTGTCCTGCGTGAACCAACCCCCCACCCCCACCCCACATACACACACTGTGAAGGTGTCGGGTCAAATGCTTTTGTGTCAACACTAACATGTCAAACTGTATTATTACTCAGGCTTTCTCTTGTGTCAGTTGTGTGGTGAGAAAAATCAAACTCTTTTTGACACGAATGTAGCTCAGGTGTTTACATACAGGTCCGGTTCCGACTCAAAAAGTGAAYTGATGGAGAGCAGAATCCTGATATRTTACAGAGGTTTTGCTGTTAGGCCCAAATATTTGGTTCTTTATCCCAGTGTGTCCCTGTGTTTCTGCTTCCAGCTTGTTAAAAAAACAAAAACACGTCTTTACTTGAGACACTTGAACAGTTGAAGAGATTAACCAGTTTTTCACTTCTGCTTTAGTCTCATTAGATAGGAGCTTAGTCTTGAAATGCAGTGACTGCTTGGCAAGCGTCTGGAATCGGTCGACATGACCTGCGCAGAAAAAACTAGTCTTAATGAGTTTTTTTTTTTTTTGAATATTGAGTTATTATTAATTTTTAATTCTCCACTTCAATAGCTTAAAACCAGTGGTGGCACAGCTAACCAAAATGTTAGCCTAACGYTAAACAGCTAAAAAAATAAAAAATTAGCAGAAGGTAACACTAACGGCTAATTGCTCGCTGCTTAGTTGACTGTCATTCAGTCTGTCTTCATCTCCTTGAAACTGAAGACAGGTGGGACTGACACAAACCTGTTCATCAGTTTGTTAGTGAGCTGTTAGCTGACTTAAAGATGGCAAAACATAATTTAGCAGAARCTGATTGGTCCTCGRTTKTCAAAGTTTSTGGAAAAAGTTAAACAAMAAATTTGTTCCTCTATTAGTTGACTAGCAGAACCATACCCATTACTGCTTAAAACAATGCATTAGTTATTGAAATTTGTTGATTTAYCACCTGGCTAACAAGAAGCTAGTTTTGTTTACAAGATATATTTAACCGTTAACCTCACTCTAAATACAAAAAGTCACGCTTTAATGTCTTTTTCATCCAGTGTGAATTAATAACAGTGAACACACAGGCCACATGTCAAACAAAAGTCTGATAAAATTCAGAATATTTCTCCTGGACAAAAACAAAACAAAAGGGTTTTTGCTTTAATTAAATCAACCTAGACTTGCTGCAAAATGAAAAGCAACATAGAACTGAAAAAAAAAAACTATTGTGAAAATACTAAATAAATAAAATGTGTAACACCGACTAAACTTCACAGCTAGCTGAGCGCTAGTGTGACAAAAAAAAAGTCTTGATATCAGGGATATTGAATAAACACACAAATGGCCAACCACAGTAATTTTTAAAAGCCTCAAATATATTACACAATGGATTGCCGTACAAGAATCTCTCGTCTCGTAAGTCGTCTCCAAAAAAGCTCAACTGACTCAAACCAGCAGATCTTCAATATTCTGACCATTTTTCAGAAACAGATAAGCTTTGTTTAATATAAAGACCTTTAGATAGCATTTATTCTGCTTCTTTCCTGTAGTGGCTGTTCACTAAGTGCAGTTAAATAAAACATGTGCCAACTGAAACAGAACATCTGTACTGAACCATCGCGGTATAAATACATGTATCGTTACAACACTACCAGTTTGTGAAAGCATCATAGCTAAGATCCTCTTCACCCTGGATAATGAAACTGCTACAACATATACTGTATATGTTGTATATGATGTGCAAAACGCTTTTTTAAAAAAATCAGCCAGAGTAAGGTGTATGCCAGGTCTGATGTTTTCAGGGTTCCCCATTTAATGCATGATGGGTCCTTGATGGYCTTTAGCATGCGTGAACGTCAGTAGTAAGGTTGTGGTGATTTATCATTGTGGCRGCGATGTGTTKGGAGCCAAATGACAGGAGATGACCTGAACTAGTCTTGTCCAAAAGCRACATTGTGTCAACTGAACATTGCTACATGATAAACAGGGTGTCTGAGCTCACCTCCACGCTCTCGTTGACCTCGATCCCCCCGTCGTTGTCGTCGTCCAGCTGTTTGTGGATGTGCCGCAGTGCCTCCAGACTGAAGCGGTCGGCCTCGCCCATGCATGGTGGCATCACGATAAGACAGGGATCTACAGGGAGCGCAAGGAGAGCTTGTGAGTCCAGGTGCGTGTCGGGGATACAACAACGCTGCTGATGGTTTGGAGAGCAACGAGTCTCCATTTTTATAACGATGCAGATATGAATCAATCAAAACAGCCGAGACTTTCATGGAACTGCAGGTCTGACTCATCGGGGATAACTATTTGGCACAGAGGTGTCTCGTATACTAAAAATACATTCCAGAGTCACAGACAAGTCATGGTGATGTACCTATTGTATTAAACTGGCATCACATAGTTTCATTTGTTCAAAGAAAACCCTGCAGTGAGAAGAAAAATGGTATTTAAATCAGCAGGAAATGRTCTTTCTGCCGTTCAAATGCCAGTGATCTCAAATTACGTCTTGTCAAACAGCTTTTAGGGTAAATCATAAAAATGCGGAAAGAAAGGTTGGACTTGCTGTAAAGAGGTGATTAATCTGGAGCAGTATTAGTAGCTCTTGGAATAGTGGTGTGTAATGTGTTTCAAACTGAGCAGAAGCAAAAAGACAAACTGCTGCTTCTGCCGGACCCCCGCAGGGTGGACCCCCACCTTCCTCTTTTTTAATTTGTCCCTACTCCCATTTCAACAGGAGGAACGAGTCCATTACCTCCAGCCCTCCATCCATTCAAGCCATGAACAGTTTGAACGGGACAGAAGCCAGACTGTCTGGGTGCGCTCGCACACACACAATGAGCCAGATTTGAACACACATGAACGACTATCACATCTGCCAAGATCCTAAAGACGTTCGTCCACAAATACACAACCGTTTTTCTTACTTAATATGTAAACCAAGTCTCTCTGTCCAAACCAAATGATGCTGAATGTGATTCAGACTAAAACTGAGCAGCAGACGACACACACTTCAACACACATTACAGAGCTGGAACCATCAGAAGGCAGGAGGGAACAATTAAGAGAACATCAGAAACAGTTAGGAAGCATAAAGGTTAAAATTAGTGGTGTCCCAATATAAGATACTGATATTGGTATTGGACCTGATACCAGCATTTTTACTTGTACCGGTACAACATGCCCCGATACTTGGGACTGATCCCAACACCAGTATTGGTACTGGGATGCCGATATTGATGCTTCATTAATTGTGTTACAATTTACATTTTAAGTGAMAAATTAATCAGTTTCATGTTATACCAGTTGAAAGAAAGTCTTTTTTTTTATTTTAAAATGTTGCAACAGTATACTGTATATCATGCTGTATATTTGATTTGAGCCATCCGGGGGGCTGTAGGTCCATAAGGAAGGAGAGTCACCTTGTTCTAAATAAAAGAAATGTGTTTTTAAAGTCTTTGTGTAATGGATAAGGCTGAACTCAGTAAGCACTCTGTATTATTGAATACCCAAACTGAAGTACTCATGCCTGTACTTTTTTCAAAAAAATACAGCTTCACACATGCAGTAAATAAAAAAGGTTCCAATTTGTGKTTAAAACTTTATACAGGGGTTAGACAATGAAACTGAAACASCTGGTTTTAGACCATAACATCCCTTTCAGACAGCTTCCTCTTGCGTCCACAGTTAATCCCGTTGGATGTGGTTGGTCCTTCTTGGTGGTATGCTGACATTACCCTGGATACTGTGGCTCTTGATACATCACAAAGACTTGCTGAACCTTCACACTCTGCTCTTACTGGTGCAATGTGCAACTAATGAAGACTGGTCACCAGGCTGGTCCAGTTTAGCCATAAAAACCACCCACACTAAAATGACAGGTGTTTCAGTTTCATTGTCTAACCCCTGTAATTTCTTGTAMTTTTGCACCGATCAAAATTCAATTCTTTACCATTTTGTAACATTTAGGGTTTAACGTCAAGGTAACTTCACATTTTCCAATTTGAAATCTTGTACTTATTCACGCCCCAATTTCACGTCGACCTGTAAGACTCTTTTGATTTAAAAATGTYTAAATCTGAAATAAATCTTTGTACAATGGTGGGTTTTTAATTGCACATTTCAAACATGAAACATAAACTATCTAATTTAGTTCTGATGGATGGTCTGAGACGACAGCGGAGCTTGCGTGAAGCAGAACTTGTTCACTGAACACTGGACGTCTTAATTACAGAAACATCACTTGGAGACTTCCAGAAGAAGCAAACGGTGGTATTTGATAGGATTCGTGTCTGGGGCTAAGTTTGGACCGGAGGACGAACTGAGAAGGGACGAATGTGTCAAATGAAGGAACCAGAACTGGCGAAGAGCCGTGGTGGGTCTTAGCCAGAGTTTAGATAACACTCTGATCACTTGTTCAGGTGTAACTGGAAACCTCRGAGCTGAGGGAAGTGAACCACACACAGCTGCTTTAAAGTCACCACTTCCTGACGGCCCACAGAGAGACAACTCCTGTTTCCTGATACAACACGGAGGGCCACCAATCAGCAGTGGGCTCTGAAAAACAGGAACGAAGCCACCACAAAACACTTTAAACCAATTCTGTTTTGACATGAAGCCACTAAATGACATTTGTCTGTCATATCTTCTCAGTTAAGTATTATTTAAATGCTGTGACATAAGGTCACCTGATGCTGGAGAACAACTTACATAATATATTTGCCTAGCTGGTCTGGGAAGTTTACATAGTCTGATGTTTGCATAGCAGCAAGCTTATCTATTAGGTTGTTTGGTTATTTAAAGAGACACTAAACTCTTTTAGTTTCACCAGAACACAGAGGCAAAGAACCGCAGCGGCACGTCGTCCTGCAAGTCCCAGTTTGGTGTTTTACAGAAATGTCAGTTCTGACAGCAGCTTTGGGCTCTAAGATGTTGGTTCTTTTTGTTGTCAAACGGCGCGCAGCTGTAGTGGCCCAATTCTGTTCCGCGAAGAAGTTCAAAACGACGCGAAAACAACCTGCTGTCACCGGCTGAGCCACCCGCTGTGAGATTCACAAACGTGACAGAACAGGCCTTTTCCTTCACCAGGTGTCCCGTCTTTTTTGGGGKTTTTTACGACGTTTGAGCGGATTGTTTAGCATTACAAAGAGGAAATGTGGAACAGGAAGTGGACTTTGGTGACCCCTGAGAAGTTATTGGAGGGGGGATGGGGGGTGCTCCCTTRGAATCAAAACACTCTGGAGGAGCAGGAGAGAGCCTGAAAGATGACAAATTTGGAAAGCACTGGGTTATTTTTAGCCCAACAGGCGTGTAAAAGCTCAACAATGGCAGAGGTCTCCCTTGCTCAAGCATGCGGATGTTTAACACACACACATACACACACACACACACACACACACACACACACGCACACAAGGAAGCTGTAGTAAAGTATTTTACTTGTGCTGTAACACAGATGAATGTGAGTCGTCACCTTGTAATTCATCTTTTATCAATTTTCTACCAGCTTTGTTGTTAAATCTAAAAAATAATATTCGCTATTAAGAACTACCGTAACCAAAACTAAAATTCTCACTATGTCAAGGTCTTTCAAAGCCACTATGAAGCATTTTATAAAGTGCAAAACATCAGTTTAACCAAGGAATGTAATATTGTTTAATCATTTTAAGTAAGATCTCGTGCATTTCCGGTCAGTCAATAACTGACAGGAAAAATAAGGACAGAAATTCAGCTTTTAACAGTTTGTTGATTCCAAAAACAAAAAATTTTCTTGTAAAAAATAYTTTTGTGCTACTTTACATTTCTTATATGTATCTTGCTGACTTAGATTTAAATCAAGTTCAAATTATTGGTGCTGTAAAAGTCTACGAAACGATTTGCAATACGCGATACCGCATTGTGTTAGTTAATTATTGCACTTAAAGCTTATTTTGGACTCAGGCTGTCCCAGTAACTGCCTGCACAAAATATTCATATACCAACAAATAACCCTACACAATACAGTCCAATTTTTTTTTGCATTATTCCCTGTATTTGTMGGCCACATTGGAGGAGTTTTCAAATTTAGGCAGCCTCCGGCGCGGAGCTGAGACGTAAGCAACCGACGAATTTGGTATTGGGAGGATGCAGTCAATCGTCCCAACACAAAAACGGCTATAGCTCAGTCAGTTTTACAGATCCTGAGCTAAAAAGTAGGTGTGGTGGTAGCTGAGATTTGTCTAATTCAGTGTCTAAATCAGAGTGCTTATATATATAAAACCCTGCAGTTTCGTATAACATCAGAACGTCATTTTTAAGGTTGGCCAAAACCAGCAATGACTCTTCCCATCATAAGACGATCTAAAACAGAGATTCTTAACCCATGGGCACCACCTTGAGGGTTGCAAAAGAACAACAGTTTTTAACTTTGGGCCGCAGAGGGCCGTGGGACTGCATTGATTTTTAATAAGGTGCAATACATTTTCTCACCACTAGTAACAGTAGTGCACCACTCAGTCGTTTAACAACTTTTTTAATATATGGAAGAAGAACCTTAGAAACCTGCCGAGAATGGAAACTTATTTTAAATGAAAAGTAGAAGCAAAAATGAAAGCAACTCATCAAAAAACACCAAAGTTTGTCACTATAATAAAGTGCAGCTTCTGTTTTTACCATACAATATTTTAAAAGTTCAAAACGTTATCAAATACAGTTGCAGATACAACTATATTTTAATTTGCACTTTAGTTAATTTTTGTAGTTTTTTTCAACATTTTGAATGTATTTTAAAGAAATTTTAAACTTGCCAAAAAGCTGTTGTT